CCCAACAGAATGACGGGTTCTGGTTAAAATAGAGAAATAGAGGGCATGATATTGTGTCTATATTTATCGCGCAATCGTTTTCAGCGATAAAAAAAGTAATCGATCGAACATCGAATTCGTCGGGTCTTTTTTGGTTTTACTGCGTAATTGTCTGTTATCACGGCCAACGACGTGGGGGGGGGGGCGACAAACATTACTGTCCGGGTCTGTTGCAGAAATATCGGAACCGCCAATATGTTTGCCGGGCCGGGTGTTTCGTCTGCCAAGAGAGATGACCGCCGTATTATATTCGGGTGTCCGTCAAGACAGGTTTCACTGTAAATAACAATAATTCGTATGCGATCGGACACGACGGGAGAATTTCCTTGTGAGATTCCCTATGGACCAATAACCGGACCTGACCGCGCTGCGCGTTTACGGGATTACCGTAGATTGAGGTTTACAATATTATGCTCCACTCTCTCGCTCTCTCTCTCTCTCTCTCTCTCTCTCTCTCCTTCAAGGAACGCGACGGCCAGGGGACGGGCCGTTACAAGTTTACGTCACGGCGACGCGAGCGAGTCCTTCGACCCACACACTGACGACACGGCGTTATTATAAATTACATTCTTGGATTTTGCCGAGTTTCGCACGGTCGACGGTGACGTAGCTGCGCGGCCGGCGGCGGCGGTGCAGTATTTACAAAACAAAACCGCGGTGTTTACAAACACGCGGGAGAGAATTCGCGACCCCCGCGACCGTCGTCGGCCCGCACCGAGTGGGTCACGACGTTCGACGGCCGCAGAGAGACACCGGAGAGAGAGAGAGAGAGAGAGAGAGTGAGAGAGAGAGAGAGAGTGAGTGAGCGAGTGAAAAAAAAAACCCGAAGACCGCCAAAAATGAAAGAAAAGAAAAAAACCAACACGTTCCCGTCGTCCGTTCGTTTCACGATCACGTGATACGCACGTGTACCTATTGCGAGTATTATTATTATTATTATTATTTACACGCAGGCGAAGGTGTACTACTGTAATTTAGGTAGGTAGGTAGGTACCTACCTACCTTTATTATATACGTAACGAGTATTATTATTATTACGACGATGACGAGGATATTTTCGTTTTTGTAGGTTGGACCCGTTCGCGGGGAAAAACCGGTTTCGGGTGTTGTGTTTGTCCGGCGATTACAAGTTTAGATGCCGAGCACAACGCGAAGAGGCTATATTACAATTATTATCATTATCATTGTTATCATTGTCATTATTATTGTTGTTATTTTTACTGTCGTTTTACGAAGATGCGTATTTTTCTCTCGGTAAAACCCCTCTACGGGTTGGGCGCAGCTAGAAATGTTTCGATTTTTCCGGGGCCGTGCGTTCGAGATTCTGCGACCGAATCCTGTTTAAAACAAAACGGGCCCGCGGGTACACTTCCAGATACGATTCCACGGCGCCCGCGAATTGTCCCGTACAATTGTCCTACCGTCTCGGCGACGTCCACCCACGACTGCGGCCTACCCACGAGCAGTATATCCGGTTTTTGTTTTAGTGTGAACACCGTCCGCATGTGTTAACGATATCGCATTGTCGTGTATGGAAATAGCGCCTCTAGACCGGAAAATGATCATTGTTGCAGGGTAGAATAGCAATTTAATAATAAAAAAAAAACCACGCCACGCTCTTCGCTCCTCCTACTCCTTCCTCCTATACGGCTAGACGGTTTAAAAAAAAAAAAAAAGCACGTCGCGTGAAAATGGCGATTGAACGACCACCGATCCGGAGCGCTTGACCACGGGCTATCGGCTTCTTATTTGACTTCTTGCGGTGTTGCAGCGGGATATTATATCCGTTCTCCGGGGAAATCCCATTTACGCACGGGAAATCCCGTCCGGTGGCGCGTTTTTCCGCGGTACAGCAGACGATTGTGAAAGTTAATTTACTTGCTCTTTATATTGTGCAACATTTCCGCGCGTAACATTTGACACGATCGAGAGGACTGGAGAACTGCCAATACAGTTGATAATCGTGCGAAATACGAGAGGCGCCGAAAACAAGTGAAACCTGAACCAACCAAGTAAGTGAACGATTTTTTGGCCTTTTTGGAGACACTCGTGTTGCGGCGTACAGTTTGAGAATGTTCAATTTGACAACATCGCAGCGCATAAAAAATCGTTCTGTTTTTTTTTTTTTTTTTTTTATAAAAATACATTACATAAATTTTTTTCTCCGATCAGCCGAAAACTATACACGTAATAACGAGATACTGAAATGACAAAAACATTCGTAACAGGATGTTGCTGCACTATCGAACGCGTCCCTGCGGAATGTCCGTTTTCAATATAATATAATATGAAATTTTGCAAGCAGATCAATAAAAAAGTAATATTAATTGTATGCAAAAATACGATCGAGATCGGTGTTTTTCATTTTTTTTTTATTTCTAAATTTAATAATAAAGTTTTAAACGTCGCATTCAAATCGTAACTCACGATTTGTTTACTTTTTTTTTTCGTATACCCGCTGGTTCTAATTTCGAATCTCAATTGAATCGATTGTATTCGTCAACAATGACATTATAATAGTGTTTGTTTTCATTTTATACCGCAATTTATATTTTATTTCTGATACCTGCAGAAAATCGAATACAAGGTTAACCGTATAGGTATTTTTTTTTTATTTATTATTATTATATTCTAGTTACGTTTAAAAATATCTATGAAAATCGCGATTTGTATGTATATGTATTACAATTTTATTTTTTGTCTTTCATAAGCTGCTTATATCGAGGTCGAATACGATTAGTTTCATAATGTTTTATATCGATTTATTTTTAGATTTGCGATAAGTTTTACTTAAGGCATTTTTGTGCGGTTTAATACGTTCGATTTTTTGTTATATCAAAAAGAGTACATAATCGTAAAAATGTCGATTCTGGATTGTTTTATACACGTAACCAAGAGTTTATTTTCCATCGATATCAATAAACGTTTGTTTTCAATATTTTTAAAATGGGCCATACATGGCGCATTATACTGGCGCCTGCAGAACTCATGAGATAGCTATGCGACCCTCCCCCTCCCCTCGTCAAACTGCAAATGCAGTATATATATTGTAGTAGCCTATATCAAAAGTACGCAGTTTTTATAATATTCACACTAGGTACCTACCTATCTTGTTATTTTTTTAATTCTAAGCTGAGTAAGGAATGCATTGATAAGTAAAGACTTGACATGTTCACAGAATACTTAAATTAAGCCTTTTTTAAATTTTGAAAATATTCTGGCTTTTTTTGAGTTATTTATAAGCCTTTGACATTTTATAGGGTTTTTTTTTTGTCTTCTTTTTTTGGTTTTATGTGAATAAAACTGTTTTGGCTGAACTGAAATACTGAAATATTCAACTCAAGATTCATCATAAATTGTATTTAGTGGTTCAAATAAAAAAAGTTGAGCGTTGCATACATATTATAATTTAAACGAGCTAGTTCTATGTATCCACCTTTTAAATGTCCCACCTACAACGCAGTGGCACATCCATCGACAGTATCAATTCTTTATTTATCTTTTGTTTGTGTTTGTGAACTACCTACTATAAAAATCTCGTAATCTAATAAAAAAAAAAGACTAAGTGAGCCTTCTTTGTAGCGTTTTAGACGTGGTTGGTGTATTTGGGTGTATTTCCTTGTAGTTGCCATAATAATTAATAATAACCGAGATAAAACGTACAAATTTACGGGCATAACTACAAGTTACTATGTTACACCCAGAATTATATAGCACTACGCAGTTGCACGTGCCTTAACGAAGAATAGTCGTTGTATATTAAGTTTCAACTAGCCGGTTGTTTTTTTTTTTCTATTTGACTCGAAGCGAATTACTTATATATGCATACGTTACTTTGCAGCAGGGTCATTCGCACCGTATGTGTAATATGTATTTTTTTTGTTATATACCTAAGCTATACGACCGCGTATTATAATATTACAAATAATTGAAACGAACTGCGTAAAATTGCAATAATAGTAAAACAGAATATGGGACGTATATATTTTCGTGTAGTTATTATTTTGTTTACTTCCATACGAATTCAAATTTAACGAGACGACTAGTATGTGCGTTTGTTCCCGTCGCGTCGTCAAATGAATAAAAGCAGAATCGGGTTCGCATTGGCACAGCTATACTATTATCATAATAGTGCAGTGTAAAGTTACAGGGAAACGCGAATACACCCACCGGAATATTATTTCGGTTAAAAGAAAGTTTTTCTAAAATATTGTTTTATTTAACCCCGCAATTAATTTATATAAACTATATTAATATTTTGTGTTTATTTCACGTTTAATTTATTTACGAGTATACCTTCCAAGTGGAGCACTCTCAAAATTAAATTTCGGTATTAAGCTGAACGGCCGGATAAGGTTGAATTGAGTTTGGGTAAAAAAAAATTTACTTCATCGAATTGCGCTCGGACCAAACACAGGTAATGGTCGAAAGTAGTACTCTCCATTTATCTTTGTACATGGTTTCATGTATTCACGTGAAACTAACATTCGAACCGTGTACTTCAAAATCCGATCCGTGTGCACGTGTGATTGTTCACGCGTACACGTATAATGACGTATTTCACGTATATTCACTTATTCACGTATTCACGTGAATAACATTAAAACACGTGAACCATGGATAGTAGATGCTGTGTTAAGTATACGTAAGTACACCTTTTTCGTTTACGTGTACACGAACTCTGTTTACACATACTTATTAACTCATGTTTTTAATTGAAACCTCTAGTCGAAATGCACTCGGTTCAAGAAAGACATTTCAATAAAAATGTCTGAAAAAAAAAACTTAGTTCAAACGTTTTTAAAACGTTCATTTCTTCCTTCTCACCAACAATTAAATGATTGGTTCTGTTAAAAATCTGTTTATTTTTATAGTCATATAATTAAAAAGCAATTTTCAAACAAAAAATATTTCCATAATTATATAATATCAATTTGTAATAATTTAACGAGTTCAAAAACCACATTTTAATTAGGTATACAAATATACACATAAATTAAGAGAAAATTAATTTTTTAACCTCGCCAATGATTAAAATCATTGCAGTTCTAAACCTGTAAGTGGTCAGGGAAATTAGTGTTTTTAAAACTTTTTTTGACCCGCGTGCAGTTCGGTTATTTAATTTAGGTAAAAAGTGCAATTCGACCAACCCGGAATGACTGATAAAATGTTGACTATATCATTCACCCACCGAATCGCACCAATTTAACTATATAGTTATATACTATATTTGATATAATTATTAATTATTTATATACAATTGATGTTTTTATGATTTCTACAATAATGTATCCACCTGTACATTTTAATATTATAATTTTAGTATAATATTTACAGTGTGGACCTTATGTCCGTTAGGTATTGAATTTTTCGATTCTGAGTTGCACGAGGAAACAATAATAATCAACCCTACCTAATTCGATGACATATTTTGATTTCGTCTCTTTTCGACCAGCTATAATCATGCTTAGCTACTCAAAACGATTATTTTAATACCTAGGGATGATTCAAAAGTGGACAAGTTGCTTTAATGAATCATATTGCTTAAATTACCAAATAATTTTTCTGATAATTAAGATAACAATATATTAATATGTATTTACATAATATTACATAATATGTTAATCTAACTAAAAAATTACGTTTATCGCGACTGAAATCAATATGATGTAGTTAAATATACAAGTTTGAATTTGAACGTTTCAATTTTATTCGAAATTTTGTAAAAACATTAATTTTTCTACGTTTGTTTACATATTTATAAATTGTATAATATTTAATGTATACATACCAATAATTAAATATATACCTACGAGTTTAATTTGTATACATTAACTTGACAAGACGTAATTAACCAATATTTTGAATGCTCTAGTTAATAAGGGCATTTAAGCTACATAAATTAATTGATAACATATAATTAGAAACGCCAAAGAGTCGATAATAATGTTATTTGTTTTTATTGAACATTAAATCATATAATATGATTTACTTTATAAATTATATTGTTTACTTACTTCCCTTCTCGATAACATTTTATCTCATAAGGGCTAATCTTCTATGAAATGTTCATATTTACTTTAAATTTAGAAATGATAAAATTGCCGCGAGATATTTAAATTTCGGTTTCACATCTCTATAATCTTCTATGAAATGTTCATATTTACTTTAAATTTAGAAATGATAAAATTTCCGCGAGATATTTAAATTTCGGTTTCACAACGGGTACACTTTATTGCAGTTGATGTTTGGACAATGATATTTTTTAAAATTAAGTTTACTCTTCGTTATTGCGTGACGATACTTGTTTAGAAACGACGTACGTCGCCAACAACAGCTTTTTGCTCGTTTATTAATATTGTACAACATTTACATATATGCCAAATAAATAATAATATTTTAAGTATTGTAATACATGAAGTCGAATCGAACATTCAACATTTACATATTTCGTACATTTCGAATTTATTGTTATGCGGCGAGTAATATTGTATATTGTATGTTAGGTACCTATATTTTTGATGCAGTTGTTAATTGAATGCAAATACTTGAAATCACTTTGGATACACTTGTGTATACCTATAGCGTTTAGTCTACAGTCTAGACTAATACAAATTATTATTATTTTTTTAATTTGTATTACTCTTGAATATTATAATATTTTATTTATTGCAAGTCAAAAAAAAATGCGCATTTTTAACAATACTAATATAATATGACATAAAGCTAAAAAAAAAAAAAAAATCGAATAACGAATAATTTTCATTGCTCGAGAGCAATATTGATTTAAAAAAAATACCATGTATAAAATTAATTTTCCTACATACATACGGATTTTTCTCCTAATTATAATAACAAAAACGAATCGTTATAATTTTCATTATTTAAATTAATATTATGCGCGTTATCTTTCGAATATTATATTATATTATACGCGATTTGACGTGGTTTTTTTCGAAGTGCGTGTTTGTTTATTCATTTTTTTTATTTAATTGTGGCGTGATTATACGGTTGTAAATCACATAATATTAGGTATACTATACGTATAATATTTCTCGTAAATTTATTTTATCTAAACCGTAGGCAATCGTAATGAAATAATGACGACTGACGAGCGCTGTAATAGCGCAAGTACGCACATAGATGAGATATTATAACGGGTTCGTATCGGGTATATTTTATTATAGGCATTGCAAAATATATAACCTGCAGAGAAATGGGCACTTTAATATGAAACCCGGCTCTTACGATGTCCCGCAAAGTGTTGGCTAGCGCTAACCAAGAGTACCGACAGGATTTTGCGAGAAAGAACGGGCATGAGTATTTATCACGATATTATCCGTATATAACAGTGGCGTATTTAAGGGGGGAGATCAGGGAGATATATTTCCACCCTCTTCCCCCATCAATTTTTTTAGTATATATTATTTATACGAATATTCATTTTTCGAATTTGAATTTCTTTACTTTTTAGTTTATAGACAAATCAAAAATTTATTGGTAGGTACCAAGTTAATAATAATAAAAAAAAAAAAAACCTTAACTATAAGTAAATTTCCTTTATAATAACCGGAACCTATTCGAACCACTTTAATTTTAAAAAAAAACGTTTTTTTTCTCCTTATCCTTAGAATAATATAACTAAATTAATAATTATAATCTATCTATATATATAAAAGTGAATGTCTGTCTGTAGGTCCTTTATAGACTCAAAAACTACGGGGTTTTGTAACGAGGTTTTTCGCAAAATGTTGTGCATGGTCCTGAGAAGGTTTATAACTGTTGAAATTGCTAAAATTTAACCCCTGAAGGATAGCTGACTCAGGAATTCTGGTATTTTGTGGTAAAATTTTTGTTGATTGGTAACAAAGTAAATATTATTATTAATTTTGTTGATTATGTGTTATCTATGGTATCTACTAAATATTGTTTATAATCTGGCAATAGCAAAGTATTGCCGGGACAGCTGGTTAATATAATATAATATGTCAATGTTTATGTCAGGGAAGATTAATTAATAAAATACTCGTTAAAAATATACAGTTTTAATGTTGGATTATTTTTTATTTTAGCTAGCCTTTGTACACATTATACAATCTATGGAACAAAAGCATTTATATATTTATTTCCTTTTCGTATTTTTAGATTTTCGCTAACAATCTTTACGAATTGTATACTATAATCTTAGAAATTATATTTACAAAACGAAAAAATGTGATAATCGTGTTAAAATAACGTTTTTAGAAACGTGTAAATATGTTCGAATTATAATCAAACTTTAATTTTATATGTAATTCGAATTACACACATGTATGCAACTTGTTTCATACGCACTCATGCACGTATATTATATACTCTTATATTGTACATGTGTACGCGGCAAAAAAAATTACAATATTATTACAACATGTTCATTCCATATTATGTATATATTGTCTACACATATTCTCACTGTACTATATTTTCCAGAAGTAGTATGAACATATTAATTTTGTATATTTATACATATTTTACAATAATTTCAAATATTTATTGCATGGTATTTCAATGAAAATTATGCGCCACTGCGAAAAAATAATGTCACTTACTTAACATTAATATATGTAGTATTATTAAGCAGAGGTTCAACTGGATGAAATCTACAAAGACCCAATGCGATATTGATTTCTTTCAAATATGTTCCGAATTCTTCTTTAACGTTGATATCAAACGATCGTTTTCAATCTACGAACACGTATTGACAGACAGACACGCCACAGTGTTACCGAGGAAATATTTGAATATCGTTTAATTATTAATTTTAATAACATACGAATAATAACTACTGATAAAATAGGTAACAATAATATCGTACGTTTTTTACAATTTTTTTTTTTTTTTGTACATAACTATTGATTATAATATTGCCGCATATATCGTTTTTACAGCATGTTATGTGAATTATTTTTATATCGGTTGTAGTTCATAAAACCGCGCTCTAGTTATAAGTTCATTTATCTACAACATAAAATATTCTACTCCGGTGAATGGTAAAGCGCAAAATTAATATATATAGTAGTATATTATATTGTGTTTTTTTTTTCTTCTAGAGGTGAACTACTTATAGTGCTTAACATTTGCGTCGTAACAATATACTTGTACATACGTATAGTGGTAAGTAATACGAGTCAAGAGCGCTGACAAAATTCGTGGCTCCCGTCCTTGTGGCAGTACTTACCTATTATACACTGCAGGGCGAGACGGTTTTCGTCTATTTACTTACCCACCTACTATACTGTCGGTGGGTCACTTATAAATCCGATTAGTATGCATTATAATATTTTAAAACGAGCGTATAATTTACGAGTATAATAATAAAAATGATCATATTTATCATTTCGTATAATATCGGGTTTAAAAAAAATATTTGATGTGTGGTTCTTTAGGCCTCCGGGAGATACGAAAACCCGTTTATACTTATATATATGTATCTATACATATTGAGCAGGACGACGGGACTACTACTACTACTACTATAAAAAAAAAAAAATTTTTAAAAACCAGCCTATTCGTTTAAGGACACGAAATGTACAGAGATAATACGATATGGGAAGTCATTAAATCGTTCCGTGTATACTATAATATTAATGATTTTTCTTATTGAAAACGTTAAAATATTTATACAAGGAGAATGCGAGAATACTTAACGTAAAATTCGACGAAAACCGGATACTGTAATCGCGCGGGATGAACAATATGAATAGGTCATAGTGTTTGATTTATCAAAATTATAATAATTGAGTAATAAAACACTAATAAAACATATTGTAGTAATACAAAAATAAGGCGGGGAGTGCCTAGTTATGTAAAATCGATTTACACGTATAAATTAATTATAAATTTGATTACCTTTCTTCTTCAGGCGGCAAATTGATATGTTGAATTTGACAAAGGTGACCGTAGTGAATAAAAAGATTTTTAATGTAACAATTGTTTTTTATTTATTAATTTTTTTTTAAAATATAAAGTTCTTTTCTAGGTTCCCGTGCTTTTGTCAGAATCTCTGCGTAGTCTTTTACACTCGCTTGTGATCATCTGTCCAAAAGCAACGGGAACAATACATACACTGTGTGTTTATTGGAAGTGGCCGGCCTCCTTATAACTGGAGAAATATGTGTGTGTGCGTGTGTAAATGTGCTATCTTAATTTAGTTAATACTAACAACTTAATCTAATAATTAATGACTACAAATTATTATAATTATTTTACAATATTGATTATATAATTTATTTTAATTATATATGATAGCTTAAGTATTATCTCCTTACGATGAGTAAATATCGTACTAAAATATATGTTATTTGATAATAAAAAAGAATGGAATCGGATGTAAATGTTTTACTATCATTCCTGTTATTAATTGTTTGATTTATTAACATTACATAATATTTTATTTTACATAATGTATGATAGCTTAAATAGCATATCATTACA